GCATTTTCCAAGCTTCGAAAATCTCTCAGATTTTCCTTTCGTCCTGTCATGTGACGTGAGCAACCACTATCGATATACCATTTCTCATCATATTGCTCGTCACATAATACCTGCGATCAATGAAAGAATTTAGGTACCCAAGGTTGTTTGGGTCCTTGGAAATTAGTTTTGAAAACAGAATGAAATGTAGAACTTTTAACCCAATCACAAACTTTAGTTTTGACACTATCAATTAAGTCCACATCACTAGGTAAAGGAATAGAAACATAAGTTTTTTGTTAGTTTGGGATTGTTACTGACACATGCCTTCGTCTTTTTAGATTGTGTATGATCATGCTTTTCTTTCGAAACTGGTTGCCTAGTTTTTACCGAAACATTCGAATCTTTTAAAGATGAGCTTTCAGTTGACGAAGTATTCACATAATGCTCATAAGCTTCGTGAATTTGTTGTTGAGAATATTTCCTTGTTTGATATTTTCGTCCGTTTCCTTCAAGCCAATGATCGATGTTTTTGTCACGAGACAACCATTTTATGTACGAAACTTTTAAGGTTTGTTTCTTTATAGGATTTGGAAAATTCGGTTTTTGTGGGAAGAAATCAACATTTGATTTAGGTCGAAATGACATTACGTATCGACTTCCATCATTGTTTCAAACACTTATATTTTGAGAAAATCGATTTTGAGATTTTTGTTTTTGAGAAAACCTTGTTTGTTGATTAGAAGAAAATCGTTGTGTTGATGGTTGATTTTGAACACTCTTTGAGGTATTTTTGTTATCTTTAGAAAATGATGAGTTTGAAACTTTCGAAGAATTTGTTTTTGGATGAAATTCAGATTTAGTTTTATTTGTTTGAGCGGGATTTATCTTTTGATCTGAATGAATTGCTGAATGTGAAGACTTGTTCTCAACAGATTTATTCTTTGTGTTTTCAGATGTTTTCAATGTCAAACCATTTTGTTGCTTTCGTAACTCTACGGTTTGCCAAAAAATCTTCTTTCGATCATTTCTTTTTGAAATTGCATTTTCTTTTGAAAACTTGTCAATTTGTTCTTTAAATTCTTTGGAATTTAATTTGACAACTGTTTCATTTTCCACAACAACTTCTTTTGTAACTTCTTTCACAATTTTCGATTTTTCAACCCATTTGCGTTGTGGTTTTTGTCTTTGAAAAACATATGAATGATTTGTTAGATTATTTTCGACAGTGCTTTGATTTGAAAAGAATCCTTCGTCTGTTGTTTTCTTGTTGTCATCTTCGACCATTTTGTTGAATTCTGGTTTAATGTTCTCAACATTTCCAGTAGTGACAAACACTTGATTTGGAAATACAACATTATCAGTACACTTGAAATTTGGATACACCACTTGATTTGTTTCCAAATAATGGGCTCCTTTTTCAAACACTTTATCGAAGTTTTCAGTGTTCCCAAACACTTGATCAACAACAACACGGGGAATTTCTGTTTCTTTCAAATCTTTGTTTGATGAGACCTTTTTATGCGAATCGTCATCGTCATTTTCATCATCACTGCTATCCGTTTGACTATCTCGGATATCCACAATCTCGGGATCACAAACTTTCGAAGTTGAAGGTTTGTCAGTGTCAATCTTAACCATCAAATCCTTAAGTTTTTCTTTTCCTTTAGAGTTTGATGCAACATTAATGATAGACAACTAAGAACAATCAACATCCTCAATTTCACTAATTTCGCTAATATTGTCAGAGTTATCTTCAATATCGGCAAAATTAGATTGAGAATCAGATGTTGAATTCTCAGTCTTTTTCAAAATTTTGATTTGTTCTGATTTTGTCAAAGTATCATTCACAATGTTAACTAATTCACTTGAATCAAGACATTCGTTAATTTTGACAATTCCATAAGCATATCTATCATCAGGAATTTTGTCAAACTCAGCAATATTTTTCTCACAATCATACGAAATATTATCAACCTTCGCTCTCTCATATTCTAGAAAATGTAATAATTTCCTATGTTGTTCCTTGTTAATTTCACACGAATGATGCAATGCAGTTAACTTGCCATATAGACGTTTAGCAGAATTGCAGTAGATGTTTCGTTGAGCTAATAAGAGTTTTACTTCACTAGACAACGAATCTCGATCACACATAATGTTTTTTATTTTCAATTCTAAACATTCTATCTTGACAACTTTCGAATCTAACTTCTTATGTGTCTCTAACAACTGATTGCTTAATTTCTTAGCTTCATTGCTAGCAGAAACAACCAAATTATCAAAATAAGCAACAATATCATCAAAAGCAACAATTTCAGAATCATACGCTCTTAAAGGAATATTGAAAGATTAAAGAATATTATGTACCTTAGTTGTCATTGGAGACTTATCAGCAGACTTTGACACAAAGCATCGGCCCGTTACCTCTTCGTCCGAATCTTCCTCCAGCTTCGCATACATGGCTCCATGCGTAGGATTACGCATTTCTTCATCATCAGAGCCCGAAGACCAAATTTGATATGTGCCATCATTCTCTTGTTCACCTTGAGCCACCAAAGACAAACTTTTCGCCTTCGTACGCACCTCTTCCAATCTCTCCACATAATATGCTTCATCCTTTAGTATATTCTTTTTCTTATCCTTCTTTCGAAGCATGCAATCATTTGCTAGATGATTTGCTCCATTGCAATAATGACAATCCATACCAGAATCTCCTTTCAGTTTCTTCTCCTTCTTCTCCTCAGCACCCTTCCCATCATTCTTCTCATACTTCTTCGTCTCTTCTCCTGCAGCCTTGTTCACAAAACTTCCTTTTACCTCACTTTGCTTCACCTTTGGATTAAACGGTTTCTTGAAAAACTTTTTGACTCGGTTGTTTGAGTAAAAAGCAATTGCCTCATCATCCGAATTCATGATAAACCCCTCTTGATCATCAGAATCACCTTTTTCGACTGCTTCCTTTTCAGACACTTTAGAGACAAGTGCTAATGGACCTCCTAGACTAAGCTTCGACTCTTCTGCCATTTCGTTCACTTCACTTTCGTTACTTTTCAGTTGATTGTACAAATCATTCAAAGAAGATGTGTCGAAACTCTGTTGATTTTTCACCATCAGGCTAACACTCCTCCATTCTTTACGGAGTCCCATAACAAAGGTGAGATTGAATTCCATGGCAGACCTCTTGAGTCCATAACGATTGCATTTGTAAATCAGCTCGTTCAGCCTATCATAGTAACTTTCAATTGTTTCACCATCTTTTTGCTTGAAATCCTTCAATTCAATCAAACAGTGCTTAACTGAATTGATTTTCGTCTTCTCGCTACCTTGAAACTTTTCTTTGAGATTATTCCATATGTCTTTTGCAGTTGTAAAACTTCTGACATAGTTATACAGAACTGGAGGCAATGCACCACATAACTCCCTTATGCATCGTTTTTCAAGTTTCTTCATTCGAACAGTTTGATCTTTTGACACTCGTAGTACCAGACGACGATCCAATTGGTTGAAGATTCGTCGGAAGAGTAACATTCCCTGAGATGCAAGACCAAAGCTCTTCATCGATTCCATTCAAGTAATCTTGCATACGATCAGACCACTGATCATAGTATTCTGGAATGAGCATATGAATCTTAGTTGAAGATCCTAGCAGATGAGAGTATGAAGTCATCGAGTTGAGATTGAAATTCACCATTGATGTATGAAAAGAAGATTTTTGAGAATTTTTGATAAATCAAAGAGAATTTGAAAGCAAATTTCTGAATTGAACAGAAATATCAAGTAGAATACTCGATTCAACAAATCAGTTGCAAAATCAAATCACAACTGAAGATCTAGAATGCTTTTTCACGTCAAAAGGTGCAGAACTTTTTGAACCAGAAATTTGATTCAAAAACTTTTTGAATCAGAGTGAAAATTAGATCTCAGATCATGATTCCTGCTCTGATACCAATTGATGAAGTGTAGAATCAAGTATGAATCAAATCAGAGTTAAACGAATGTAGATTGAACTCACGATGTAAATATGATCTGGTTTCAGCTCTATTATGCTTTCAACTGTTACAGAGAGTATGTAGACAAGTTCATACAAAGACTCTTATCTAACTCTAAGTAATGTCCCTATTTATAGGAAACATGAAAGCACACAAAAAATTACAAGGACTAAAACAGTACGCTTCGTTACATAAATGCCTTGTAAAATAAACTTATGACTTCGACATATTACAACAGGTCTTCGACCCTTACAAAAGTTAACAAAAAAATGGAGGTAAATTGTGCTAAAAGTAAATCATTATATTCTCGTGTTTCTCTTCATTCTATATACGGTGTTGTGAATTCAATGAATCATAATAAAAAAGAATGTGTGAGGAGATTGGGATTTGGATCATTGCTAGACATGAAGACACAAAGTATTCCAGCAAAATTATGTTATTTTGTTGTTGATTCTTTTGATCATTTAGAGATGGTTATTAAAACTAAGGTTTCTTCTATTTTGGTTACAAGGGAAGATGTTAATAGGGTGTTAGGTTTGCCTATAGGAGTTGATCAGTTAAATAGTGTTGATGTAAGAGATAATGAGGAATGGTAATATCTATGGAAAGATCAATTCAAGAAACCGTTGTCGTTAATTACTCCAACTGATATTGTGTACAACATAATAGAATGTTGTGAAGCAGATATGGTGTTCGTTGCAAATTTTATTATTCTTGTTTGTACCTGTTTTGGATCATGTAACAAACAAGGTGCATGCAATTTGAAGCTTCTACCGTATTTGTCTCAGTCATATAAGTTTGATGAGTTTGATTGGTGTACGTATGTATTAAATTGTGTAAAAGAAGAGAAATTGATTTGGAGCAGAAGTAATATAAATACTTTCTTCAATGGTCCGAGTGTGTTTCTAACGGTATTTCATTTAATAGTATTTGAGTTAATATGTTTAAAATTTAAGTATTATTTATATTTTGTTATTAATTTTTTGTTTTTTTTTCTAGTTGCTATATGTTGATAGGATTCAATGTAAGCAAATGTTAATGGTTAGAAGATATCCAGTGATTAATCATTGGACGTTAGATCAGATGAAAGTGAGGGAAATAAAGGGAATTGCAAACGGAGGTTTTGGAACACCATCTGCTACATTGAAGAGTGTTGATGAAGTTGATAGAGGATCAATTTTAGTAAGTAATATTAATTTTGTATATTTGATACTGGTCATGATTGCTGTGTTGTGTATTATGATATTAAAAAAAATTGCTGAAAATTGAGTTTGATAGTGATTACTTAGATGTATGTTTAAATTTTTAGATTTAGTTATTAATTATAACTTGCTAATATTCCTTTTTCTTTTTTTTATCAGGAGTTTCATTCAGAAATTAAGTGGTGCTTAATAGACATGTCTAAGAAAGTGGATAAAGCTTTTAAAAAGCATGGAAATATGAAAATAATAGAGTTCTATGGATTGAAGGTGAAAGAGTTATGTTCTGCATATAAAGCTTTTTGTCATAGTAACTCTAAATCTGAATCAACTTTTGAGTCATATGACAAAAGCAGTAGTTGTGATGATAAGTTCTCGGACATTGGAGATTTTGGTCAGCTATTAAGAACAGTGTAGGAATTAATAAATTTGGAGTGGGTAAAGAGTATGGCAAATCTGGTTTTAATGAAACTAATTTCCATGTGGATTAGGGTGTTCATAGGAAAAAGTGTGTAATTGAGGATATTCCTTCTTTTAATTTAGGAATTGAGGATGACATCTATACTTCAAGAAAAGTCAATATATGTGTTGATAGTTATGCTATTAAGAATTATGTTTCTGTTGGAAAATGTTCTTCTTCAGTCAAAGGAAATGTAATTAATTCTCATGATATAAGTGAAAATGTTAAAATACTTAAGAATGATATGATTTCATCGTGATCAAGGAGAAGTCAAACGTTACCTCCAGTGCTTAGGTCTCCATTTGTTGTACGAGCTGTTGAGATTGATAGTAATTTGACGAAGGAGGAGAATATCAAATCGAATTGGGTATTTAGCTTATGTGGAAATCCAACGTAATGTGTTTGTATATATGTATACATATTTTTATCTATAAGGAATAATAATTTTAATGTATTTTAATTGTATTTTAATAGGGACAATCTTTTTCATAGCATAAATGGTCAACGTGGGGAAAGATACATGTTTGAGAGCTTATATCCTGGAGAATATCTTTTTTCTGGGACTATTGATTGTTTTGTTGAAGTGTTAAACTATGATGAGAGAGTAAGGAATTTGGACACTCCGGCATGTTTCTTCTTCAAGAGAGCAGTATTGGTACTTATATTAATTGTTATTTATATTTTTTATATTAGTATGATATTAATTATTGATGGTTTTGTTTTTAGGATTTTGCATACATGCATAGTGAAGCATGTAAATTTGATGATGAGTACAACAATTTTTAAGAAAATGTTCACTACTAGAAAAACAGCCTTTTACGACGCGCAATGTGTGTCGTAAAATGCTCAGATGACGCGCAAATGCGTGTCAAGGAAGACCCTGTCATAACGAGAGACGACACGCTTTTGCGCGTCGTCAATAGATTACGCGCATTTACGACGCGCAGTTACGACACACGATTTACGACGCGCATTTACGACACACGATTTACGACGCGCATTTACGACACGCAATGCGTATCAAGGAAGTCTCTGTCATAAAGGAAGACGACATGCATTTGCGTGTCGTAACCTTACGACGCGCATTTACGACTCGCGTTGCGTATCATTAAAGCCCCTGTCAAGAAAGGCCATGTCATAAATGAAGATGAGACACATTTTTGCGTATCATAATTTTATATGTTTAAAAAAAATATTATTTATAGATTTACAAATTTTCAAATTAAATTTGCATTTAATGTCTCATAATAAATAAAATATCATTTAGAGATGGTTATTAAAACTAAGGTTTCTTTCTATTTTGGTTACAAGGGAAGATGTTAATAGGGTGTTAGGTTTGCCTATGGGAGTTGATCAGTTAAATAGTGTTGATGTAAGAGATAATGAGGAATGGTATGATCTATGGAAAGATCAATTCAAGAAACCGTTGTCGTTAATTACTCCAACTGATATTTGTATACAAGATAATATAACGTTGTGAAGCAGATATGGTGTTCGTTGCAAATTTTATTATTCTTGTTTGTACCTGTTTTGGATCATGTAACAAACAAGGTGCATGCAATTTGAAGCTTCTACCGTATTTGTCTCAGTCATATAAGTTTGATGAGTTTGATTGGTGTACGTATGTATTAAATTGTGTAAAAGAAGAGAAATTGATTTGGAGCAGAAGTGATATAAACACTTTCTTCAATGGTCCGAGTGTGTTTCTAACGGTATTTCATTTAATAGTATTTGAGTTAATATGTTTAAAATTTAAGTATTATTTATAATTTGTTATTAATTTTTGTTTTTTTTCTAGTTGCTATATGTTGATAGGATTCAATGTAAGCAAATGTTAATGGTTAGAAGATATCCAGTGATTAATCATTGGAAGTTAGATCAGATGAAAGTGAGGGAAATAAAGGGAATTGCAAACGGAGGTTTTGGAACACCATCTGCTACATTGAAGAGTGTTGATGAAGTTGATAGAGGATCAATTTTAGTAAGTAATATTAATTTTGTATATCTGATACTGGTCATGATTGATGTGTTGTGTATTATGATACTAAAAAAAATTGCTGAAAATTGAGTTTGATAGTGATTACTTAGATGTATGTTTAAATTTTCAGATTTAGTTATTAATTATAACTTGCTAATATTCTTTTTCTTTTTTTTATCAGGAGTTTCATTCAGAAATTAAGTGGTGCTTAATAGACATGTCTAAGAAAGTGGATAAAGCTTTTAAAAAGCATGGAAATCTGAAAATAATAGAGTTCTATGGATTGAAGGTGAAAGAGTTATGTTCTGCATATAAAGCTTTTTGTCATAGTAACTCTAAATCTGAATCAACTTTTGAGTCATATGACAAAAGCAGTAGTTGTGATGATAAGTTCTCGGACATTGGAGATTTTGGTCAGCTATTAAGAACAGTGTAGGAATTAATAAATTTGGAGTGGGGTAAAGAGTATGGCAAATCTAGTTTTAATGAAACTAATTTCCATGTGGATTAGGGTGTTCATAGGAAAAAGTGTGTAATTGAGGATATTCCTTCTTTTAATTTAGGAATTGAGGATGACATCTATACTTCAAGAAAAGTCAATATATGTGTTGATAGTTATGCTATTAAGAATTATGTTTCTGTTGGAAAATGTTCTTCTTCAGTCAAAGGAAATGTAATTAATTCTCATGATATAAGTGAAAATGTTAAAATACTTAAGAATGATATGATTTCATCGTGATCAAGGAGAAGTCAAACGTTACCTCCAGTGCTTAGGTCTCCATTTGTTGTACGAGCTGTTGAGATAGTAATTTGACGAAGGAGGAGAATATCAAATCGAATTGGGTATTTAGCTTATGTGGAAATCCAACGTAATGTGTTTGTATATATGTATACATATTTTTATCTATAAGGAATAATAATTTTAATGTATTTTAATTGTATTTTAATAGGGACAATCTTTTTCATAGCATAAATGGTCAACGTGGGGAAAGATACATGTTCGAGAGCTTATATCCTGGAGAATATCTTTTTTCTGGGACTATTGATTGTTTTGTTGAAGTGTTAAACTATGATAAGAGAGTAAGGAATTTGGACACTCCGGCATGTTTCTTCTTCAAGAGAGCAGTATTGGTACTTATATTAATTGTTATTTATATTTTTTATATTAGTATGATATTAATTATATTGATGGTTTTGTTTTTAGGATTTTGCATACATGCATAGTGAAGCATGTAAATTTGATGATGAGTACAACAATTTTTAAGAAAATGTTCACTACTAGAAAAACAGCCTTTTACGATGCGCAATGTGTGTCGTAAAATGCTCAGATGACGCGCAAATGCGTGTCAAGGAAGACCCTGTCATAACGAGAGACGACACGCTTTTGCGCGTCGTCAATAGATTACGCGCATTTACGACGCGCAGTTACGACACACGATTTACGACGCGCATTTACGACACACGATTTACGACGCGCATTTACGACACGCAATGCGTATCAAGGAAGTCTCTGTCATAAAGGAAGACGACACGCATTTGCGTGTCGTAACCTTACGACGCGCATTTACGACTCGCGTTGCGTATCATTAAAGCCCCTGTCAAGAAAGGCCATGTCATAAATGAAGATGAGACACATTTTTGCGTATCATAATTTTATATGTTTAAAAAAAATATTATTTATAGATTTACTAATTTTCAAATTAAATTTGCATTTAATGTCTCATAATAAATAAAATATCATTTACAGATGGTTATTAAAACTAAGGTTTCTTCTATTTTGGTTACAAGGGAAGATGTTAATAGGGTGTTAGGTTTGCCTATGGGAGTTGATCAGTTAAATAGTGTTGATGTAAGAGATAATGAGGAATGGTATGATCTATGGAAAGATCAATTCAAGAAACCGTTGTCGTTAATTACTCCAACTGATATTTGTATACAAGATAATATAACGTTGTGAAGCAGATATGGTGTTCGTTGCAAATTTTATTATTCTTGTTTGTACCTGTTTTGGATCATGTAACAAACAAGGTGCATGCAATTTGAAGCTTCTACCGTATTTGTCTCAGTCATATATGTTTGATGAGTTTGATTGGTGTACGTATGTATTAAATTGTGTAAAAGAAGAGAAATTGATTTGGAGCAGAAGTGATATAAATACTTTCTTCAATGGTCCGAGTGTGTTTCTAACGGTATTTCATTTAATAGTATTTGAGTTAATATGTTTAAAATTTAAGTATTATTTATAATTTGTTATTAATTTTTGTTTTTTTTTCTAGTTGCTATATGTTGATAGGATTCAATGTAAGCAAATGTTAATGGTTAGAAGATATCCAGTGATTAATCATTGGACGTTAGATCAGATGAAAGTGAGGGAAATAAAGGGAATTGCAAACGGAGGTTTTGGAACACCATCTGCTACATTGAAGAGTGTTGATGAAGTTGATAGATGATCAATTTTAGTAAGTAATATTAATTTTGTATATTTGATACTGGTCATGATTGTTGTGCTGTGTATTATGATATTAAAAAAAATTGCTGAAAATTGAGTTTGATAGTGATTACTTAGATGTATGTTTAAATTTTCAGATTTAGTTATTAATTATAACTTGCTAATATTCTTTTTCTTTTTTTTATCAGGAGTTTCATTCAGAAATTAAGTGGTGCTTAATAGACATGTCTAAGAAAGTGGATAAAGCTTTTAAAAAGCATGGAAATCTGAAAATAATAGAGTTCTATGGATTGAAGGTGAAAGAGTTATGTTCTGCATATAAAGCTTTTTGTCATAGTAACTCTAAATCTGAATCAACTTTTGAGTCATATGACAAAAGCAGTAGTTGTGATGATAAGTTCTCGGACATTGGAGATTTTGGTCAGCTATTAAGAACAGTGTAGGAATTAATAAATTTGGAGTGGGTAAAGAGTATGGCAAATCTGGTTTTAATGAAACTAATTTCCATGTGGATTAGGGTATTCATAGGTAAAAGTGTGTAATTGAGGATATTCCTTCTTTTAATTTAGGAATTGAGGATGACATCTATACTTCAAGAAAAGTCAATACATGTGTTGATAGTTATGCTATTAAGAATTCTGTTTCTGTTGGAAAATGTTCTTCTTCAGTCAAAGGAAATGTAATTAATTCTCATGATATAAGTGAAAATGTTAAAATACTTAAGAATGATATGATTTCATCGAGATCAAGGAGAAGTCAAACGTTACCTCCAGTGCTTAGGTCTCCATTTGTTGTACGAGCTGTTGAGATTGATAGTAATTTGACGAAGGAGGAGAATATCAAATCGAATTGGGTATTTAGCTTATGTGGAAATCCAACGTAATGTGTTTGTATATATGTATACATATTTTTATCTATAAGGAATAATAATTTTAATGTATTTTAATTGTATTTTAATAGGGACAATCTTTTTCATAGCATAAATGGTCAACGTGGGGAAAGATACATGTTCGAGAGCTTATATCCTGGAGAATATCTTTTTTCTGGGACTATTGATTGTTTTGTTGAAGTGTTAAACTATGATGAGAGAGTAAGGAATTTGGACACTCCGGCATGTTTCTTCTTCAAGAGAGCAGTATTGGTACTTATATTAATTGTTATTTATATTTTTTATATTAGTATGATATTAATTATATTGATGGTTTTGTTTTTAGGATTTTGCATACATGCATAGTGAAGCATGTAAATTTGATGATGAGTACAACAATTTTTAAGAAAATGTTCACTACTAGAAAAACAGCCTTTTACGACGCGCAATGTGTGTCGTAAAATGCTCAGATGACGCGCAAATGCGTGTCAAGGAAGACCCTGTCATAACGAGAGACGACACGCTTTTGCGCGTCGTCAATAGATTACGCGCATTTACGACGCGCAGTTACGACACACGATTTACGACGCGCATTTACGACACACGATTTACGACGCGCATTTACGACACGCAATGCGTATCAAGGAAGTCTCTGTCATAAAGGAAGACGACACGCATTTGCGTGTCGTAACCTTACGACGCGCATTTACGACTCGCGTTGCGTATCATTAAAGCCCCTGTCAAGAAAGGCCATGTCATAAATGAAGATGAGACACATTTTTGCGTATCATAATTTTATATGTTTAAAAAAAATATTATTTATAGATTTACTAATTTTCAAATTAAATTTGCATTTAATGTCTCATAATAAATAAAATATCATTTAGAGATGGTTATTAAAACTAAGGTTTCTTCTATTTTGGTTACAAGGGAAGATGTTAATAGGGTGTTAGGTTTGCCTATGGGAGTTGATCAGTTAAATAGTGTTGATGTAAGAGATAATGAGGAATGGTATGATCTATGGAAAGATCAATTCAAGAAACTGTTGTTGTTAATTACTCCAACTGATATTTGTATACAAGATAATATAACGTTGTGAAGCAGATATGGTGTTCGTTGCAAATTTTATTATTCTTGTTTGTACCTGTTTTGGATCATGTAACAAACAAGGTGCATGCAATTTGAAGCTTCTACCGTATTTGTCTCAGTCATATAAGTTTGATGAGTTTGATTGGTGTACGTATGTATTAAATTGTGTAAAAGAAGAGAAATTGATTTGGAGCAGAAGTGATATAAATACTTTCTTCAATGGTCCGAGTGTGTTTCTAACGGTATTTCATTTAATAGTATTTGAGTTAATATGTTTAAAATTTAAGTATTATTTATAATTTGTTATTAATTTTTGTTTTTTTTTCTAGTTGCTATATGTTGATAGGATTCAATGTAAGCAAATGTTAATGGTTAGAAGATATCCAGTGATTAATCATTGGACGTTAGATCAGATGAAAGTGAGGGAAATAAAGGGAATTGCAAACGGAGGTTTTGGAACACCATCTGCTACATTGAAGAGTGTTGATGAAGTTGATAGAGGATCAATTTCAGTAAGTAATATTAATTTTGTATATCTGATACTGGTCATGATTGCTGTGTTGTGTATTATGATACTAAAAAAAATTGCTGAAAATTGAGTTTGATAGTGATTACTTAGATGTATGTTTAAATTTTCAGATTTAGTTATTAATTATAACTTGCTAATATTCTTTTTCTTTTTTTTATCAGGAGTTTCATTCAGAAATTAAGTGGTGCTTAATAGACATGTCTAAGAAAGTGGATAAAGCTTTTAAAAAGCATGGAAATCTGAAAATAATAGAGTTCTATGGATTGAAGGTGAAAGAGTTATGTTCTGCATATAAAGCTTTTTGTCATAGTAACTCTAAATCTGAATCAACTTTTGAGTCATATGACAAAAGCAGTAGTTGTGATGATAAGTTCTCGGACATTGGAGATTTTGGTCAGCTATTAAGAACAGTGTAGGAATTAATAAATTTGGAGTGGGTAAAGAGTATGGCAAATCTGGTTTTAATGAAACTAACTTCCATGTGGATTAGGGTGTTCATAGGAAAAAGTGTGTAATTGAGGATATTCCTTCTTTTAATTTAGGAATTGAGGATGACATCTATACTTCAAGAAAAGTCAATACATGTGTTGATAGTTATGCTATTAAGAATTCTGTTTCTGTTGGAAAATGTTCTTCTTCAGTCAAAGGAAATGTAATTAATTCTCATGATATAAGTGAAAATGTTAAAATACTTAAGAATGATATGATTTCATCGAGATCAAGGAGAAGTCAAACGTTACCTCCAGTGCTTAGGTCTCCATTTGTTGTACGAGCTGTTGAGATTGATAGTAATTTGACGAAGGAGGAGAATATCAAATCGAATTGGGTATTTAGCTTATGTGGAAATCCAACGTAATGTGTTTGTATATATGTATACATATTTTTATCTATAAGGAATAATAATTTTAATGTATTTTAATTGTATTTTAATAGGGACAATCTTTTTCATAGCATAAATGGTCAACGTGGGGAAAGATACATGTTCGAGAGCTTATATCCTGGAGAATATCTTTTTTCTGGGACTATTGATTGTTTTGTTGAAGTGTTAAACTATGATGAGAGAGTAAGGAATTTGGACACTCCGGCATGTTTCTTCTTCAAGAGAGCAGTATTGGTACTTATATTAATTGTTATTTATATTTTTTATATTAGTATGATATTAATTATATTGATGGTTTTGTTTTTAGGATTTTGCATACATGCATAGTGAAGCATGTAAATTTGATGATGAGTACAACAATTTTTAAGAAAATGTTCACTACTAGAAAAACAGCCTTTTACGACGCGCAATGTGTGTCGTAAAATGCTCAGATGACGCGCAAATGCGTGTCAAGGAAGACCCTGTCATAACGAGAGACGACACGCTTTTGCGCGTCGTCAATAGATTACGCGCATTTACGACGCGCAGTTACGACACACGATTTACGACGCGCATTTACGACACACGATTTACGACGCGCATTTACGACACGCAATGCGTATCAAGGAAGTCTCTGTCATAAAGGAAGACGACACGCATTTGCGTGTCGTAACCTTACGACGCGCATTTACGACTCGCGTTGCGTATCATTAAAGCCCCTGTCAAGAAAGGCCATGTCATAAATGAAGATGAGACACATTTTTGCGTATCATAATTTTATATGTTTAAAAAAAATATTATTTATAGATTTACTAATTTTCAAATTAAATTTGCATTTAATGTCTCATAATAAATAAAATATCATTTAGAGATGGTTATTAAAACTAAGGTTTCTTCTATTTTGGTTACAAGGGAAGATGTTAATAGGGTGTTAGGTTTGCCTATGGGAGTTGATCAGTTAAATAGTGTTGATGTAAGAGATAATGAGGAATGGTATGATCTATGGAAAGATCAATTCAAGAAACTGTTGTTGTTAATTACTCCAACTGATATTTGTATACAAGATAATATAACGTTGTGAAGCAGATATGGTGTTCGTTGCAAATTTTATTATTCTTGTTTGTACCTGTTTTGGATCATGTAACAAACAAGGTGCATGCAATTTGAAGCTTCTACCGTATTTGTCTCAGTCATATAAGTTTGATGAGTTTGATTGGTGTACGTATGTATTAAATTGTGTAAAAGAAGAGAAATTGATTTGGAGCAGAAGTGATATAAATACTTTCTTCAATGGTCCGAGTGTGTTTCTAACGGTATTTCATTTAATAGTATTTGAGTTAATATGTTTAAAATTTAAGTATTATTTATAATTTGTTATTAATTTTTGTTTTTTTTTCTAGTTGCTATATGTTGATAGGATTCAATGTAAGCAAATGTTAATGGTTAGAAGATATCCAGTGATTAATCATTGGACGTTAGATCAGATGAAAGTGAGGGAAATAAAGGGAATTGCAAACGGAGGTTTTGGAACACCATCTGCTACATTGAAGAGTGTTGATGAAGTTGATAGAGGATCAATTTCAGTAAGTAATATTAATTTTGTATATCTGATACTGGTCATGATTGCTGTGTTGTGTATTATGATACTAAAAAAAATTGCTGAAAATTGAGTTTGATAGTGATTACTTAGATGTATGTTTAAATTTTCAGATTTAGTTATTAATTATAACTTGCTAATATTCTTTTTCTTTTTTTTATCAGGAGTTTCATTCAGAAATTAAGTGGTGCTTAATAGACATGTCTAAGAAAGTGGATAAAGCTTTTAAAAAGCATGGAAATCTGAAAATAATAGAGTTCTATGGATTGAAGGTGAAAGAGTTATGTTCTGCATATAAAGCTTTTTGTCATAGTAACTCTAAATCTGAATCAACTTTTGAGTCATATGACAAAAGCAGTAGTTGTGATGATAAGTTCTCGGACATTGGAGATTTTGGTCAGCTATTAAGAACAGTGTAGGAATTAATAAATTTGGAGTGGGTAAAGAGTATGGCAAATCTGGTTTTAATGAAACTAACTTCCATGTGGATTAGGGTGTTCATAGGAAAAAGTGTGTAATTGAGGATATTCCTTCTTTTAATTTAGGAATTGAGGATGACATCTATACTTCAAGAAAAGTCAATACATGTGTTGACAGTTATGCTATTAAGAATTCTGTTTCTGTTGGAAAATGTTCTTCTTCAGTCAAAGGAAATGTAATTAATTCTCATGATATAAGTGAAAATGTTAAAATACTTAAGAATGATATGATATCATCGAGACCAAGGAGAAGTCAAACGTTACCTCCAGTGCTTAGGTCTCCATTTGTTGTACGAGCTGTTGAGATTGATAGTAATTTGACGAAGGAGGAGAATATCAAATCGAATTGGGTATTTAGCTGATGTGCAAATCCAACGTAATGTGTTTGTATATATGTATACATATTTTTATCTATAAGGAATAATAATTTTAATGTATTTTAATTGTATTTTAATAGGGACAATCTTTTTCATAGCATAAATGGTCAACGTGGGGAAAGATACATGTTCGAGAGCTTATATCCTGGAGAATATCTTTTTTCTGGGACTATTGATTGTTTTGTTGAAGTGTTAAACTATGATGAGAGAGCAAGGAATTTGGACACTCCGGCATGTTTCTTCTTCAAGACAGTAGTATTGGTACTTATATTAATTGTTATTTATATTTTCTATATTAGTATGATATTAATTATATTGATGGTTTTGTTTTTAGGATTTTGCATACATGCATAGTGAAGCATGTAAATTTGATGATGAGTACAACAATTTTAAAGAAAATGTTCACTACTAGAAAAACAGCCTTTTACGACGCGCAATGCGTGTCGTAAAATGCTCAGACGACGCGCAAATGCGTGTCAAGGAAGACCCTGTCATAACGAGAGACGACACGCTTTTGCGCGTCGTCAATAGATTACGCACATTTACGACGCGCAGTTACGACACACGATTTACGACGCGCATTTACGACACACGATTTACGACGCGCATTTACGACACGCAATGCGTATCAAGGAAGTCTCTGTCATAAAGGAAGACGACACGCATTTGCGTGTCGTAACCTTACGACGCGCATTTACGACTCGCGTTGCGTATCATTAAAGCCCCTGTCAAGAAAGGCCATGTCATAAATGAAGATGAGACACATTTTTGCGTATCATAATTTTATATGTTTAAAAAAAATATTATTTATAGATTTACTAATTTTCAAATTAAATTTGCATTTAATGTCTCATAATAAATAAAATATCATTTACAGATGGTTATTAAAACTAAGGTTTCTTCTATTTTGGTTACAAGGGAAGATGTTAATAGGGTGTTAGGTTTGCCTATGGTAGTTGATCAGTTAAATAGTGTTGATGTAAGAGATAATGAGGAAGGGTATGATCTATGGAAAGATCAATTCAAGAAACCGTTGTCGTTAATTACTCCAACTGATATTTGTATACAAGATAATATAACGTTGTGAAGCAGATATGGTGTTCGTTGCAAATTTTATTATTCTTGTTTGTACCTGTTTTGGATCATGTAACAAACAAGGTGCATGCAATTTGAAGCTTCTACCGTATTTGTCTCAGTCATATAAGTTTGATGAGTTTGATTGGTGTACGTATGTATTAAATTGTGTAAAAGAAGAGAAATTGATTTGGAGCAGAAGTGATATAAATACTTTCTTCAATGGTCCGAGTATGTTTCTAACGGTATTTCATTTAATAGTATTTGAGTTAATATGTTTAAAATTTAAGTATTATTTATAATTTGTTATTAATTTTTGTTTTTTTTTTCTAGTTGCTATATGTTGATAGGATTCAATGTAAGCAAATGTTAATGGTTAGAAGATATCCAGTGATTAATCATTGGACGTTAGATCAGATGAAAGTGAGGGAAATAAAGGGAATTGCAAACGGAGGTTTTGGAACACCATCTGCTACATTGAAGAGTGTTGATGAAGTTGATAGAGGATCAATTTTAGTAAGTAATATTAATTTTGTATATTTGATACTGGTCATGATTGCTGTGTTGTGTATTATGATATTAAAAAAAATTGCTGAAAATTGAGTTTGATAGTGATTACTTAGATGTATGTTTAAATTTTCAGATTTAGTTATTAATTATAACTTGCTAATATTCTTTTTCTTTTTTTTATCAGGAGTTTCATTCAGAAATTAAGTGGTGCTTAATAGACATGTCTAAGAAAGTGGATAAAGCTTTTAAGAAGCATGGAAATCTGAAAATAATAGAGTTCTATGGATTGAAGGTGAAAGAGTTATGTTCTGCATATAAAGCTTTTTGTCATAGTAACTCTAAATCTGAATCAACTTTTGAGTCATATGACAAAAGCAGTAGTTGTGATGATAAGTTCTCGGACATTGGAGATTTTGGTCAGCTATTAAGAACAGTGTAGGAATTAATAAATTTGGAGTGGGTAAAGAGTATGGCAAATCTGGTTTTAATGAAACTAATTTCCATGTGGATTAGGGTGTTCATAGGAAAAATTGTGTAATTGAGGATATTCCTTCTTTTAATTTAGGAATTGAGGATGACATCTATACTTCAAGAAAAGTCAATACATGTGTTGATAGTTATGCTATTAAGAATTATGTTTCTGTTGGAAAATGTTCTTCTTCAGTCAAAGGAAATGTAATTAATTCTCATGATATAAGTGAAAATGTTAAAATACTTAAGAATGATATGATTTCATCGAGATCAAGGAGAAGTCAAACGTTACCTCCAGTGCTTAGGTCTCCATTTGTTGTACGAGCTGTTGAGATTGATAGTAATTTGACGAAGGAGGAGAATATCAAATCGAATTGGGTATTTAGCTTATGTGGAAATCCAACGTAATGTGTTTGTATATATGTATACATATTTTTATCTATAAGGAATAATAATTTTAATGTATTTTAATTGTATTTTAATAGGGACAATCTTTTTCATAGCATAAATGGTCAACGTGGGGAAAGATACATGTTCGAGAGCTTATATCCTGGAGAATATCTTTTTTCTGGGACTATTGATTGTTTTGTTGAAGTGTTAAACTATGATGAGAGAGTAAGGAATTTGGACACTCCGGCATGTTTCTTCTTCAAGAGAGCAGTATTGGTACTTATATTAATTGTTATTTATATTTTTTATATTAGTATGATATTAATTATATTGATGGTTTTGTTTTTAGGATTTTGCATACATGCATAGTGAAGCATGTAAATTTGATGATGAGTACAACAATTTTTAAGAAAATGTTCACTACTAGAAAAACAGCCTTTTACGACGCGTAATGCGTGTCGTAAAATGCTCAGATGACGCGCAAATGCGTGTCAAGGAAGACCCTGTCATAACGAGAGACGACACGCTTTTGCGCGTCGTCAATAGATTACGCGCATTTACGACGCGCAGTTACGACACACGATTTACGACGCGCATTTACGACACACGATTTACGACGCGCATTTACGACACGCAATGCGTATCAAGGAAGTCTCTGTCATAAAGGAAGACGACACGCATTTGCGTGTCGTAACCTTACGACGCGCATTTACGACTCGCATTGCGTATCATTAAAGCCCCTGTCAAGAAAGGCCATGTCATAAATGAAGATGAGACACATTTTTGCGTATCATAATTTTATATGTTTAAAAAAAATATTATTTATAGATTTACTAATTTTCAAATTAAATTTGCATTTAATGTCTCATAATAAATAAATTATCATTTAGAGATGGTTAATAAACTAAGGTTTCTTCTATTTTGGTTACAAGGGAAGATGTTAATAGGGTGTTAGGTTTGCCTATGGGAGTTGATCAGTTAAATAGTGTTGATGTAAGAGATAATGAGGAATGGTATGATCTATGGAAAGATCAATTCAAGAAACCGTTGTCGTTAATTACTCCAACTGATATTTGTATACAAGATAATATAACGTTGTGAAGCAGATATGGTGTTCGTTGCAAATTTTATTATTCTTGTTTGTACCTGTTTTGGATCATGTAACAAACAAGGTGCATGCAATTTGAAGCTTCTACCGTATTTGTCTCAGTCATATAAGTTTGATGAGTTTGATTGGTGTACGTATGTATTAAATTGTGTAAAAGAAGAGAAATTGATTTGGAGCAGAAGTGATATAAATACCTTCTTCAATGGTCCAAGTGTGTTTCTAACGGTATTTCATTTAATAGTATTTGAGTTAATATGTTTAAAATTTAAGTATTATTTATAATTTGTTATTATTTTTTGTTTTTTTTTCTAGTTGTTATATGTTGATAGGATTCAATGTAAGCAAATGTTAATGGTTAGAAGATATCCAGTGATTAATCATTGGACGTTAGATCAGATGAAAGTGAGGGAAATAAAGGGAATTGCAAACGGAGGTTTTGGAACACCATCTGCTACATTGAAGAGTGTTGATGAAGTTGATAGAGGATCAATTTTAGTAAGTAATATTAATTTTGTATATTTGATACTGGTCATGATTGCTGTGTTGTGTATTATGATATTAAAAAAAATTGCTAAAAATTGAGTTTGATAGTGATTACTTAGATGTATGTTTAAATTTTCAGATTTAGTTATTAATTATAACTTGCTAATATTCTTTTTCTTTTTTTTATCAGGAGTTTCATTCAGAAATTAAGTGGTGCTTAATAGACATGTCTAAGAAAGTGGATAAAGCTTTTAAAAAGCATGGAAATCTGAAAATAATAGAGTTCTATGGATTGAAGGTGAAAGAGTTATGTTCTGCATATAAAGCTTTTTGTCATAGTAACTCTAAATCTGAATCAACTTTTGAGTCATATGACAAAAGCAGTAGTTGTGATGATAAGTTCTCGGACATTGGAGATTTTGGTCAGCTATTAAGAACAGTGTAGGAATTAATAAATTTGGAGTGGGTAAAGAGTATGGCAAATCTGGTTTTAATGAAACTAACTTCCATGTGGATTAGGGTGTTCATAGGAAAAAGTGTGTAATTGAGGATATTCCTTCTTTTAATTTAGGAATTGAGGATGACATCTATACTTCAAGAAAAGTCAATACATATGTTGATAGTTATGCTATTAAGAATTATGTTTCTATTGGAAAATGTTCTTCTTCAGTCAAAGGAAATGTAATTAATTCTCATGATATAAGTGAAAATGTTAAAATACTTAAGAATGATATGATTTCATCGAGACCAAGGAGAAGTCAAACGTTACCTCCAGTGCTTAGGTCTCTATTTGTTGTACGAGCTGTTGAGATTGATAGTAATTTGACGAAGGAGGAGAATATCAAATCGAATTGGGTATTTAGCTTATGTGGAAATCCAACGTAATGTGTTTGTATATATGTATACATATTTTTATCTATAAGGAATAATAATTTTAATGTATTTTAATTGTATTTTAATAGGGACAATCTTTTTCATAGCATAAATGGTCAACGTGGGGAAAGATACATGTTCGAGAGCTTATATCCTGGAGAATATCTTTTCTCTGGGACTATTGATTGTTTTGTTGAAGTGTTAAACTATGATGAGAGTGCAAGGAATTTGGACACTCCGGCATGTTTCTTCTTCAAGAGAGCAGTATTGGTACTTATATTAATTGTTATTTATATTTTCTATATTAGTATGATATTAATTATATTGATGGTTTTGTTTTTAGGATTTTGCATACATGCATAGTGAAGCATGTAAATTTGATGATGAGTACAACAATTTTAAAGAAAATGTTCACTACTAGAAAAACAGCCTTTTACGACGCGCAATGCGTGTCGTAAAATGCTCAGACGACGCGCAAATGCGTGTCAAGGAAGACCCTGTCATAACGAGAGACGGCACGCTTTTGCGCGTCGTCAATAGATTACGCACATTTACGACGCGCAGTTACGACACACGATTTACGACGCGCATTTACGACACACAATTTACGACGCACATTTACGACACGCAATGCGTATCAAGGAAGTCTCTGTCATAAAGGAAGACGACACGCATTTACGTGTCGTAACCTTACGACGCGCATTTACGACTCGCGTTGCGTATCATTAAAGCCCCTGTCAAGAAAGGCCATGTCATAAATGAAGATGAGACACATTTTTGCGTATCATAATTTTATATGTTTAAAAAAAATATTATTTATAGATTTACTAATTTTCAAATTAAATTTGCATTTAATGTCTAATAATAAATAAAATATCATTTAGAGATGGTTATTAAAACTAAGGTTTCTTCTATTTTGGTTACAAGGGAAGATGTTAATAGGGTGTTAGGTTTGCCTATGGGAGTTGATCAGTTAAATAGTGTTGATGTAAGAGATAATGAGGAATGGTATGATCTATGGAAAGATCAATTCAAGAAATCGTTGTCGTTAATTACTCCAACTGATATTTGTATACAAGATAATAGAACGTTGTGAAGCAGATATGGTGTTTGTTGCAAATTTTATTATTCTTGTTTGTACCTGTTTTGGATCATGTAACAAACAAGGTGCATGCAATTTGAAGCTTCTACCGTATTTGTCTCAGTCATATAAGTTTGATAAGTTTCATTGGTGTACGTATGTATTAAATTGTGTAAAAGAAGAGAAATTGATTTGGAGCAGAAGTAATATAAAGACTTTCTTTAATGGTCCGAGTGTGTTTCTAACGGTATTTCATTTAATAGTATTTGAGTTAATATGTTTAAAATTTAAGTATTATTTATATTTTGTTATTAATTTTTGTTTTTTTTTTTCTAGTTGCTATATGTTGATAGGATTCAATGTAAGCAAAGGTTAATGGTTAGAAGATATCCAGTGATTAATCATTGGACGTTAGATCAGATGAAAGTGAGGGAAATAAAGGAAATTGCAAACGGAGGTTTTGGAACACCATCTGCTACATTGAAGAGTGTTGATGAAGTTGATAGAGGATCAATTTTAGTAAGTAATATTAATTTTGTATATTTGATACTGGTCATGATTGCTGTGTTGTGTATTATGATATTAAAAAAAATTGCTGAAAATTGAGTTTGATAGTGATTACTTAGATGTATATTTAAATTTTCAGATTTAATTATTAATTAGAACTTGCTAATATTTTCTTTTTTTTATCAGGAGTTTCATTCAGAAATTAAGTGGTGTTTAATAGATATGTCTAAGAAAGTGGATAAAGCTTTTAAAAAGCATGGAAATCTGAAAATAATAGAGTTCTATGGATTGAAGGTGAAAGAGTTATGTTCTGCATATAAAGCTTTTTGTCATAGTAACTCTAAATCTGAATCAACTTTTGAGTCATATGACAAAAGCAGTAGTTGTGATGTGTCACACCCCAAAACCGGAACGGCGGAAACGTTCGGGGGTGGAGGACGTCATGTTCAGTATCACAACAATGCAAAGTAGTAAACAAGCAACAACATCATCCATTACATTAATAATATAATTTCATACAAGTGTGTTCTGTCAAGTTATATAGACACCAAAAATACACATCAAAAATAAAAGATGAGTCTTGAACGAGCTCCATCTTTTCAGAACCTGGCACCGGTACCTGTCTACTGGTGACCTGAGAATACAAGTTATTTTGAAAGAGTTTATCAGCTTTAAAGCTGGTGAGATCATAAGTATATTAGTGTATGTATTTGTATGAAAGTGTTTGTAAGTCTGTAATGTATAAGTTTTGTAAAAGTTTGTAATTGTTTGAACTCTCCTAGAAAACCCTATGTGTCCTACTAAAAGTAGCCTTCTACCAAGGCATCTAGTATTTGTGTGTGTGTCTCTTGTAAGAGTGTGTATTTTCCCAAATCTGACTATTATTAACCAAAAATATAGTTCTTACATTATTGTCGTTGTGTGAATATCACAAGGTAAATGTAAAGGGAAAATGAATTAGTACTGTAGTGTTGTATTAATTAACTACTGTTGTACTAATTACTTTAAACTATTTGTTATTTAAAGTACCATGTGATCGGCCTGTATCCTGCTACCGACTCTATAGTAAAACGACGATGTAAGACGTCGTAAGAAATGACGTTTGGCACCCGTAGACTTGCAAGTCCCACTGTAGCGAGCAGCAAGGTGTAGGATAGTCAATCCAGTATAGATCTATACACAAACTCATACGCTCCCCAATTAAGGAGATTCTGGATACAAAACGGGTCATGACAGGTAGTGCCATGTCCCCCGTTAAGTGGCTCACATCACTGTATGTAATGTATATGTATATGTATATGTATATGTATATGTATGTGCTAGCTGTATTGTGTGTTCTTTCTCTGTCTAGCTTGTATGTTTTGTTTCTCATCACTGTGTATTATGTTTGTTTCTCATAACTATGTATTATGTTTGTTTCTCATCACTATGTATTATGTTTGTTTCTCATCACTATGTATTATGTTTGTTTCTCATCACTATGTATTATGTTTGTTTCTCATCACTATGTATTACTCATGAATGAACTGACTCATTGTATGTTTCATTGTTCTAGTAATAGTATCTTCCTAAACTATACCTATTATAGTTTACTAGTAATGTTGTTTGTGTATATGAACATGTTTGTATACCTTTGCTACCCAAAGGCATTGAACTGAATGAAAGAAGTAACCTTTTATATCTACACACATATACATGATATATAACTAGGATTCAAATGACCTTCGGACAAATAACCTGAATGCCCTAAGTCCACAACCAAACAAGGAACAGGAAGTAAGGTGAGCTATCGGTCCTAAGTCCTTTCAATTCTACTTATATAACTATATCTATATACATACACAGAATATAAGTTAAAAGAATTTAAGTAAAAGTATTTATCATGTAAAAGAGTTTGATAAAAGCATTTGGTATGTAAAAGAGTTTGTAAGACAGTTTGAAGTAAAACAGTTTGGTAACACAGTTTGAAAAGTAAGAAATCCACTTGTTTGGTATTATCACATGTGATTGATATAATAACAATAATTGTTCAACTTGTATTCCCCCCCCCCATAAAAGCATTTAAAAACATTTAAAAGGTTAATTAAGGGGTATGAACTCACCTGTAGTGAGTGGTTTGGATGAACGGAATGTATAGGATGCTAAGTGTCAAGTGAAGACTTGAGCACACACACGAATCCTATTTAACATATAATAACACATATATGTATCCAATTAGTCATTTAACAACTAATTAACCAAGTTAAGACACCCTAGGACATGGAAAACACTTTAATTCGAGTGCTAGAAGTACCAAGGGTTGCATCTAAGGGTTGTATAGTCACTTAAAGGAGTTTTCGGTCCAAAGTGGTTTTCGGTCCATATGGTTTTCGGTCCATATGGTTTTCGGTCCAAGTGGTATTCGGTTTTTAGGGTTTTCGGTCCCTGAGTTTCACACCGAAAACTCATGATGTTTGGTGCATAAGGTGATTTTCAAGGGCTTTCAACAATCAATGAAGTGTTCTAGACTCAATACTAAGTATTAGGAAAGGCTTAAAGTCATTTTGCACCCTTAATAAGGGTTTTCGGTCTAAGGAGATGCACTTAGACCGAAAACACTTTTTTTTTGAGAAAAGGATGTTTTCAAAGCCCTAAATCGAGTATCCTTACTAGATAACAAGTATAAGAGATAGATACTTACAATATGGAAGCAAAGAAGGGTGTTTTCCGCAACTATTGACATACTTAATAAAGACCTTTATTAATTTGTCACACAAAATACTCCTATAGTATTTTAAGTTTATGTTCTGTTCTACTGTTCTTGTTGTAGTAGTGTTGGTAAGTTTTTAGACTTGTTGCAACCTCACAACCATACTTAGGCACATGCTAATCACTCCTCGGATAATTTAGTTGATCAGGCTACATCTTCCCAGGGTTGACCATATGTCTCTAACTCTACTTGTGCTGTCCAACAATCGTAATACTTTTGTTCTGTCCTAGTGACACTGATTTTAGTATGAATGCAGGTATGTATACTTAGTTAAATATTTTATTATTTAAAAGTATAAACTCTTTATCAGAGTATTTTAATCCCGCTGTGTTTATAGTTCGTATATCTTTTATGGGTTGATACACTCGATTCACTATAAACAATGCTCTGATACCAATCTGTCACACCCCAAAACCGGAACGGCGGAAACGTTCGGGGGTGGAGGACGTCATGTTCAGTATCACAACAATGCAAAGTAGTAAACAAGCAACAACATCATCCATTGCATTAATAATATAATTTCATACAAGTGTGTTCTGTCAAGTTATATAGACACCAAAAATATACATCAAAAATAAAAGATGAGTCTTGAACGAGCTCCATCTTCTCAGAACCTGGCACCGGTACCTGTCTACTGGTGACCTGAGAATACAAGTTATTTTGAAAGAGTTTATCAGCTTTAAAGCTGGTGAGATCATAAGTATATTAGTGTTTGTATTTGTATGAAAGTGTTTGTAAGTCTGTAATGTATAAGTTTTGTAAAAGTTTGTAATTGTTTGAACTCTCCTAGAAAACCCTATGTTTCCTACTAAAAGTAGCCTTCTACCAAGGCATCTAGTATCTGTGTGTGTGTGTCTCTTGTAAGAGTGTGTATTTTCCCAAATCTGACTATTATTAACCAAAAATATAGTTCTTACATTATTGTCATTGTGTGAATATCACAAGATAAATGTAAAGGGAAAATGAATTAGTATTGTAGTGTTGTATTAAGTAACTACTGCTGTACTAATTACTTTAAACTATTTGTTATTTAAACTACCATGTGATCGGCCTGTATCCTGCTACCGACTCCATAGTAAAACGA